AAAAAAAAAGAAATGAAAATAGTCACTTTCTCTCTAATCCATTTAATTATTGACTCTGTTGAGGTTGATGTTGGTCTCTTGAGTCCCCTTTGTCTAGAGCTCATATCTCTTGAGCTTTCCGCCTTCGAATTATATGGTCATTAATATAATCACCCATATTGGAGCTTCTCTTTATTTTAGTTTTCCCTGAACTTTAAGCTGAATAACTGCCTTAAATCACAAACCTTTCATTTTACCAAACACTCGATGTTATGAAAGTGTTTAATTTTAAAGGTGAGACTTTGACAGACCATCAAGGTCTAAAGTCCTGATACTACTGTAAGAGAATAAGAGGTCCCATTACCCATAGACTGCACAAATTTCTTTTCTATTTTACTTGTGCTTTTCATTGTTTTCTAAAATTTTTTCAGTACATTCTTTTGACTGTCATTAGTCTGAGACAAAAAAGGTAGATGGGAAATCTTATTCAGGTAGCATGGAAAATGAGTTCTATACTATTTTACCAAGAAACCGTAATCATTTTTTCTTACATTTTAATAAAAATGGAGGGAAAAATATAGGAAACTAAACTATAACATCAACAATACCAGTGTCAAGGCCTTGAGTTTTAGTTATTGGGTGAATGTAGGAGCAGTCTCAGGCCAGCTACATATAGCATGATATATGTAAGAGGTCTTGGCAAATGCGGGTCACCCTACAAATCTTACTCTGTGTGGTTATTATTTCTCATGGGGGGAAAAACAGTTAAAGGTGAGGGTTATAAATATATCTTCACATTTTGTATCATGCTATATTTATTTCATGTGGAGTTCAAGGATGCAGCTTTGATAGAAGAAGTCAGCAGCTGTATTATAATTTTATAGTTCTGGTCAGGCAACTTCACTCACTGGAGAGAACAATTTCAAGGTGGGAAAAAATAACAGTCTCCCAGCCAGTTCATCTCTAACTTCCATGTTTAGACATCAGAGAGACCAATTATTTATTTATTGCCTTATAAATTATTAGTTTTACAGCATTTAAAGCAGAGTTCTTGTTTGTGAAGCATCACAACTATTTGTAGCCATTTCTTGCCACCTAGCTACAAATGTGCTTAAATCATATTTTGTTTGTCTCCCCTGACTCTTCCTGCGAAAGGATTCCCTTTACCATTGAGTCATAATTACCTTTACTTTACTGTATCTCATTATCCTTCCCCAGACAGTTTTGCCCGTTTAATATTTGTCTTACATGGCTAGAAGACCGTTTTGTGTGGGCTATAGAGTTGCTTTTTTGTTAATTTCTGCTAAGTTGAGGTTAGAAGGATCTTCATGTCAATCTATTTTTCCTTTGACCCTCACAAGGAAAGATATTTACTGTAACAACAAAGCTGGGCATCAGTATTGTTTTGGATTCACTTTCTGCCTCTTTGGCCCTACCAGGGGCTATGGGTAACCAACCCAAGGCCTGTGTTCTTATGGGAGTGTCGCAGTTGGGAAATGGTTTGAGAACATCATAAGACTCATGTACCAAAAGCCTTTCTCTGCATACGCACACATACACACACACACACACACACACACACACACACACACACATACACACATACACACACAGAGGTTTGCCTGCTGTTTTCCCAGAATGCCTCTTCGAAGGGGTAGTAGTACCTTTGGGGTCACTGGGAGCTAATGCTGTCTAACTCTGGCACTCCCCTATCTAGAACATCTTTGGATCAGGCATATGAGTTCTAGAACAGCAGGATTTGTGTTAAAATTTTTTTTGTTTATGCTCCTTTGTAGGAAAAGTCTTTTGCTTTTAAATTCTGGGCGTTTTTCCTTCCATATATAAAAGTGATTTGAATCAGGGAGGTGAAATCAAGTCTTACAGTTCCTATATACAGTTGGTTTCACAATCTATAAATTCCTTGATGGTGGCAGTAATGCCTTATATATCATTGTAGCACATGCCTAGAACGTAATAAGCATTCTAAATTTTCGTTGAAAGAATAACAAGAAATATAGCAAACGGAGGGGACAAGGAATAAAGAAATAGCAATGTAGATTTAA